CCCCTCAACTGATCATTGAGCCCCCCCCCACTTCACCTTCGCGTCCCCATCAGCACCCCCATTTCAAGACTTCTAGATACGCCACTGATCTGCAAATTAAATTCTTTAAAGGTATTACAGTACTTTTCTTTATAGAGGGATAGAGAAATATTTACTAGATAAGACTGATTTTAAAGGTGCAAATCTAAAATTTAAAGTGCATTCTAACACTTTGCAACTCAATGGCAGGGTATCTAAGTGGAACGATGACATGGAAGAGATATGCCCTTTGTGCCAATCAGAAATCGAAGATTTAAATCATTTTTTAATCACTTCTAGAAGCACTGTAATTAACGATATAAGAATTGATGAGGTAAATAAGCTTGAACATGAACTGTATAGAATAAACTACCAAGATATTTGGCACTATTTTATTAGTACTATAGTGATTTAAATACAAAACTCAAAATGTTACTAGGCAACGCCAATATATATGCAGAATATGAACAAAATGAAACAACCAATAATATTTTTGATATGGCTTGTAAGTCCTTATTAAAAAGAACATTGAAAGCGAGATGTGAAATTTTAGCGAATGTAAATAGATAAAATAATTCTAACCAATGTCATGTTTTGTATTCTGTATATTTTAACATTCTTTTATTATATTGCTTAACTCTAAACTTTTAACTTGTTTTAATCCTTATCGTTTTAAAGAGCCTAAGGATTTAAACAGTTACAGTATTATGCTTTTATTACCGGTGTGCATATCTGTCTTTTTAACAAATATTTTAAACATTTCTCTGCCATAATTAGTAGTTTTATTTTTTTAATGCTCTTTTTTAATGTTCAACTAAAAGAATCGTCATTTTACTATATTTTATGTATTGTATGTTTTTTATACTATGTGTCTTAATGTACAAATGTACTGTGTAGTTTTATTGTGAACGCACCAGTTGATAGTGTGTGCCACTGTTTATAAGTGAACGGCTCAATAGAGTTATTATTATTATAAGGGAAAATGCATAAATGCACTTTCAGACCGAATCTTAAGCCCTAACTATAGCTTCTTGAAAAGTCTTTTGCGAAATCTTGTGCTTTTCCTAACAATTCACATTAAAAAATAATACAAAAAATACCATATCGAATTACAGCCCGATGTCAGTCTGTTATAGAGTACAGTACTGTAAAACACAATCATCTGCTTGTGGAGGCCCAATTTTGTAGTACTTTAGGCCTATATGTTTGCAATGTGTTCAATATAGAACTTTCTACAGTATAGTACTAAGTATCTAGAGATGCTAAAAATAAAAGTTTTCTAAATCATGGTGGGTTGTGAATACTCAAGTCAGCAACATTTGCCAACTTGGCAGCTATGCTGTACAGTAGATAGTACTACTGTACTACTGTACTAGAGTATTACTGTAACATAATTCTGCACTGATGAATATTGGGCATTCATAATCTATTTGATCTTGATGACTCATCCTCGCAGCTCATCTCATACATATTGGATTGCTGCTGTATGCCAAAGATTACAGCCAAAGCATCTCCAGGGAGCTATCAATGTTAGTGTTAGTCATTGAAGCTTTACTCATAATAATCATCATTTATTGGATGCCAAAGAATAATGATGATCAGCTATTGGACAATGTGTATTAATGATCATCAGTGATTGGCTGTATTCTGACAAATATTAGATATTTGAATAGATAAATGGTTAATTGAAAGACTTTGAAGGAGAAGATTTTGAAACATACTGTAAGGATCAATAATGATGTAGATTCTAAGTTATCTTAGAATATTATGAGTACTACAGTATGGTAATATTTATATTTTTTTACAGAAAAACAGTCATACACACATCACCAAGGGGATTCACAGATTTAGAAGAACACCATCAATAATAGATCTTATTATTAGAAT